GAAATGGTGAAAAATGGTGATCACTGTTCACAAAGCCTAAGCTGACCTCCTCAAATGTCTTATTTTGTCCATAACCCAAAGATATTCTGTTTACTGTCATAGAAGATTCAAGAAACCAGAAAATATTCACATTTGAGAAGATCAAGAATCTGAGAGAAGAATTTTTTTTTCTTGAAGAATGACTTAAAACCAGGAAACAATTCACTAAACAGTTGCCGATTAATTTAAATGTTGACAATCATTTGATTAATCGACTAATGGTTACAGCTCTAGGTAACTCTTCAAGTTTTTTTTCATCAGATGAAAAGATAAAATCTTATTTATGTGAACAGGTTTGACTAAAATGACTAAAACATAAAAGAAAAGGATGAGGTTGTCCTAATATGATAAAAACTGACTTACGACTACTACGGATCAGGAATCGCAAGATAAACTCGGACATCGATGTATGTGCGTGTGTGTATCCATCAGGAGTGTTTCTGTGGTGGCTCGGTGTCGGTGCCAGAGATCGAGGGTGTCCTGTGGCTGAAGGAGGATGGGAAGAAGTCGTGGAAGAAGCGCTACTTCCTCCTCAGAGCTTCAGGGATCTACTACGTCCCCAAAGGGAAAGCCAAGGTCAGTGAGACTTGAGATTGGTTGGTTTGCTTTAGGCACGCAGTCACGCTACTCAGGCACAAATGAAGACGGGGGAACAGAAATGTGGGTTGGGGTTATGAGAACCAGATTCACACAGTCTGCTCTGTGGCATTTCCTGTTTAGTGCCGGATCACTTTGAACACAACAGATACAGCACATGCTTTTCTTTTCTTTTTTTTTTTGTCTTTTTGTGCGCACATGTGCTCTATTTTTAGCACTATCATCCTCCAACGCTTTTTGCACTGTGTCTTCTGAGACACAACATCAGCATTCAGTAGCTGCCTTCCCAATACTGTATAATTTTGATGCCTTATTTAAATCTTGTGTGAGCCGAAAAGTAGGTTGACAACAATGCAAAACAAAACATACAGTGCCAGCTCAGGCATTGAATAAAGCACTGTGTATTTAATTTAGATCTGTGTAATCACCCTTAAAACATACATACAAGACTTGGGCTACAGTGAGACTCGGCATAATTATTTTAAGCCCGTTTAGAGCAACTTCACTCAAGCACAGAAACAACATGTGTTCCAAAAAAACTTTAAGCCCATTAATATGCAATTTCGATTTTTCCATGCATATATTTATACATCTAGTCGGTCCAAACTGTTACCAAAATGTCACGTGTACCTGTAGGAAAGTCTCAGTGCCTCAAGTTGTTCTGGCATCATGGACAGCGCAACTTGTCCACCCTGCATACTGCTTTTTAAAGTCAATCCATCCTCCTCTTGCCTCCCTCTCTGCAGGCGTCAAGAGATCTGGTGTGCTTCCTCCAGCTGGACCATGTTAACGTGTACTACGGCCAGGACTACCGCAGCAAATACAAGGCTCCCACTGACTACTGCCTGGCCCTGAAGGTGAAGCCCTCTCCCTTCTATCTTCCACCGCGTGGAGAAAGTCTGAAACATGTTTTGATCAAATCTTATGCAAATGTATTCACGGCAGCACATGTGTTAACACAGACACTGACAGAGAGTGAATTTCTCGCACTGTGTATAGATTTAAAATAGCGGTGTGAACATGTGAAAATATTCTGATGGTCCCTAGAGATGTATTCGAGCTCCTCTCACACACAAGCATCCCCAATGCATTTACTGCCATAAGTCTTCCATTAGAAGTGTTTCTGTTGAAGCATTCCGCAAAATGCTTCCAAACTGTTCACACTGTTTAATTTGATTTGACTGCTATTTAATAAATGGATAAATTGTTTTCACTCTGTATTTTATGTGAAAACTGTCTCATAAATGGCCAAAATATGTCATTCTTTCATAATGAAGAAACATTCTGTCATTCTTCAGTGGATTTGTGATTGGCAAAATACATACAAATACATATTTACCTATTTTTTGCAGCATCCACAAATCCAGAAGAAGTCGCAGTACATCAAGTATCTGTGCTGTGATGATGTCAGGACCCTGCACCAATGGGTGAACGGTATTCGCATCGCCAAGGTGCGTCTAAACCTGGTTTGATAAAGTCTGCAAAACAACCAAAAAATAGTCACACTACTATGGGAAATGATGTTAATTAATCCTTTGTTGTTGTGCTTTTTCACTTTGTGTGTGTGTAGTATGGGAAGCAGCTGTATGTGAACTACCAGGAGGCCATGAAGAGGACTGAGGCGGCTTACGATTGGTCGTCTCTCTCTACCTCCAGCATCCGATCAGGCTCCAGTTCTGCCAGCATACCCGGTGAGTTCATTGTCTAAACAGGCCCAGCATTAGAATAATAGATTTCAAATAGATCATCTAGATCAGTGACATTTCAACATTTAAAAAAAGGGAAAGATTCCACTAAGTTGAGAGGCTTTTGAGAAGCTCATTAAAAAAAGTTATTAGTATAGGTCAAGTTCCAAAAACACTAGATCATACATTTCTATGAATGCAAATTGGTAGCATCTTTGAATTGTCCCAGTTTGAAATGCAGGCTCCAATTTGTAGTCTTCAAACCCAAACTAAGATAATCACCAAGGTAATTTTCTCTTGGAAACTTTACTGCTACAGGATATGTGTTTGAAGAAGAAATCTCCCATTTTTACAATACCAGGTCTAATAATGGGGTCTTTACCAAGCCCTTTGTGAAATGTAGAACTTTAACACTTCTCTTACAAAGTCTTACTGTCATTTGTGTGTGTTTGCAGAGTCCCAGTCGAATCATTCAGGCCATTCAGACAGTGGGGTGGACACAGGCTCTTCTCATGGCCGGTCCCAGAGTGTGGTGAGCTCCATTTTTTCTGAGGCCTGGAAGAGAGGTACCCAGATCGAGGAGAGTTCCAAGGTATGGCTTTCTTTTCGATACAACAGGGCTTGTCACCTGGATTTAAAAAAATAATAATTTGTTACCGAATATATAATTTACTCCTCTGAGCTAACGCACTGTCTCGTGTTAGCAGATGAGAATGGAGGCATCCAGAGGGGCCACGCTGCCGCATGCTTCCCACAGTCACCGGCATCACAGCCAGCATTCAGTGGATCATCCAGCCCTGACACCTCCTCCGCAGCATCAGCCTCAG